GATCGTTGCGCACTTGATGCCGACTCCGCATTCCAAAATGGCTTTTGCGGCATCAATGGTCACCCGATCGTCAGTGGCATCTCTATTTGGCAGCCCCAAGTCAAAGTATTTTATGTTGAGCTCGACAAACGGGAAAATTAGCTGTACATTAAGCGCCAAAGCGGTACCTTTTCCTTGATTTCCTTCCAAATGATACGCGTCATCTCATCCCCGTCCATCTCAACCACGGGATTGGGCACGTGGATTTTTTTTTCTACTTTTATAAGCAAAGGCGGGGTACCAGAATGACCGGAACCACCACCACATGTAGCCATGTTGCGAACAGCCAAGTTGTGAAAATAATTTTTCAAGACCAATTTATGACGCATTTTGATCAGAAAGATTGTAAATAAAGGCCTTCCGCCCAGTTTAAATCTTTCACGTACAAATTAAGCTCGGTTGGACACGTGTCGACACTAGTGTTTACAAATTTAATGCAGGACAAGGGGGGAGGTATTCTTTATTGGTTTACAGGGGGAGGGGAGCAGGGCTTCACCACCACTACATCATTAGAAACACCGACGTGATCGAGTAGAACGAGCAAAAGACAGAACCTACTCTCTCTGTTGAATGCCAATTAACAAGAAGCATATGATACATCATCAAGGAAAAGCATGCAAGGACAAAAAGTCTAAGGGAAAAAAAGAGATTGCGCCTAAAAAGGGCTTGCACTGTTTCCGCATAAATAAGGAGCCCAATAGCGTGGTAGCACAGGAATTCAATATTTCCGTGCAAAAGTTTCCAGCATATCAACAGGTAACATAAGAAAGAAACCGCAAACGTCAAAAATGGAAACAGCGTGTTAAGTGTGGGCATCCCTGTTTTTGCTGTTAAAGAGGCCGAATTTTCCTGTAAAGAGCAAAGTGCAAGCGATTCTTCGATCCCTGTGCCGGGGATAGATAATATTGAAGGCCTTGGCGAAAATCTCTGCGCCAAGTTTTCCTTATTGTGGCCGGTGCTTTCCTTGGTGATGATGTCATGATACAATTGAAGCTGCTTTTTCTCCTTTCGATCGATGCGCCGGGGACACGAAATTGGCTTGAGCGCCGTAAAAAGCTTTTCCAGCATGTCTGGATTAATAAAGCAAATGTGGACCACGCAATCAACGATGATCGGGTTGAAGGGCAAAGAAAAGTACTTGACCTGGTGAAAAGAATGCCCAACATCCTCAATCAAGAAAAGCAGAACAGTGCGCAGAGCAAAAATCAAAAACGAGATCGTTTTGTATGCAATCGAGGACGCTGGATAAATGCACAAAAACACAAAGCAGGCAAATGCGGACACGATGTTATAATTATAAACCTTCGTCGCTAGAGAAACAACAAGAAGCAGCGAGTAAAATAGCAGCCGCCTTCTTGCACTGATCCGGCGATTAAAGGCCAAAACGGAGACTTTGCCACGAACAGCCTGCGCAGCAAGATAGTTTGCCCGTGCAAGGGCCGCCTGGGCATCTAGCTTTCGCCGCACAACACCTCTACACAACTTGCACAGTGGGTATTTGATTTCAAGGAGGTTTTTGTACTCTTCAAATGCCTCTCCATCTTCGGCTTCTTGCGCAACCGTAGCGGAGGGGACTTCTTCATTGCCATACGCATGCAAAAGCTGCATGATGATCATCTGGTTGTGGTTGCA